GCACATAACACACTTAGGCTTCCAGTGAGCCCATTCTGAGCATCCTCCACATTTGGTGATAATCTGCCCAGCTCTTTCTATACTGGGTTCATTTTGTTCTAGAAGGCTGCCCTTTGTGTGGAAGGCAGCCTTTGGAAGAGTGGAAGGATATAGGGGTTGGAGAGTCTGAGGGCCCCTCCAGACATATGCTCAAGCAGCTCTGGGCTAGGCTACAGAGAAGGTGTCTGGGAACAGCACTTCAGCCCCTGTTGGGAGTAGTTGAAGGAGGGATGCCCAGAGGCACCACCTGAGCTGATCTGTGTGGTCTGGTGAGTGGCTGCTGCCTGCCAGATCAGAGAGAGTGTCCTTGGCTGGGTCCTTCCCTAGATGCATTCCTTCCCTCTGGTTGTCCTGGTCTGCCCTCCAGGGGCTCAGGGCCAGAACATCTGCTCTTGGGCCAGAACTGGCTCCACCCCTTAGGGCTCCACAAAGGGGCTGCTCTGACAGGCTGCCACTCCCTTGAGGGGCATGGCAGCCCCCCAGCTCCCTGACCAGCTGCTACCCTGCAGAAGGGAGGGAAGGCTTATGCTCTGAGCCTGCCTTGTTTTCCCTCCTGAACTGAAGGGTAGTGCTGGAGCCCCAGTGGTCTCCACATGATGTGGAATGGCTGAAACCACTCTAGTCCTAAGAGGTGCTGATGTAGCCTTCTCTGCCTGCCACCTCCTTTTTCCTCTGTAGGTGGTTTAAGCCACTTAGCTTTCTTGTACCTTCCTTCTGTTGCTAGGAAGGCATTTGATGACTTCTTAGGGGAAATTCATTTGAAAAACATGTCATGGCTTTTTCATTACCTTCCCCCCCCCCCCCCCCAGCAGGTAACAAGTGATGCATTTGTATCAGGGAAAAGTAGAAGACAACCAGCCATAAGGAAGAAAAACATACCTGCAATCCAGTACCCAGAGAGAATTTTTATTTGGGTGGGAATATATACTTCCAATAAGTTTTTCTGTGTATACTGTTTTAAAGTATATGTATGTGTAATACTTAGTGAAGCAAAAAAAAAAAAAAGTCATTACAAAAGCCTATATATGGGGCTGGGAATGTGGCTTAGTAGTAGAGTGCTTTAGCATGCATGAAGCCCTGAGTTCATAAACAGAAAAAACTGGAAGCCCTGGGTTCATAAACAGAAGAAGCTAGAAGTGGCGCTGTGGCTCAAGTGGTAGAGTGCTAGCCCTGAGCAAGCAAAAGAAGCTCAGGGACAGTGCCCAGGCCGAGTTCAGGCCCCAGGACTGGTCAGAAAAAAAAAAAAAAGGCACATAAACACATGCCAAGCATACCTCTACAGAAAGCTAGAACAAGTTCTGGTTTTGATGGCTGACTTGGGGTGGGAGAACTGGGAACTGGTTTTTGTCCACGCCCCCACCTTCCATTGCATTTTGGATCCTGTGCATGTGGCATCTGTTTAGAAGTAATAGAACTAATATAAAAACCCATATACAACCACTGTAACCGCCTCTGTATTTTTTCCTCAGCCTGGTACAGAATTAACAGTGTATTTTGTATCTTTCCGGATCCTTCTCTTTGCTTAATAGTGCACATTTCTCTGTATTAAAACACACACACATTTAAAACACACAAGGGATTATATTGTTTACACTGTCTTGGTAATGTACAGGATCATATTACATGGATATAAACTTTAAAATGGTGGTTATTTTAGGGTTTTCTTTTGCCTAAGGTTCTTATTATAAAAATCAAGATCACAGAATCAAATAAGCATAGGAAGGAAAGAAAGTCCAAAACAGCACCATCTATTTCAATTTTAAACACAGAGCCAAAGGTCTAAAAACAGCTCCAGAACACCCAAGGGCTGAGAGCCTCCAGTAGAAGGGTAGAGGAGAGAATGGAGGAGCACAAGAAGAGGGACATTGGCTTTCTTGGCTCCACAAATGTGTTTTACAGTGACAGATTTGGGGCTGGAGATGTGGCTCAATGTACTTGCCTGGCATGCATGAAGCCTTGGGTTCTATCCCCAACATGCCCCCTGCAAAGGAAATAAATTTGAAGAGTATTTTCCCCCCTAAAAATGGTGGAGGGGAAAAACCATATTTTTGTACAGTGGTATTGTGCTGTTTTCTTCTTTAAATAATTTTCTTTTTGGTAATACTGTGGTTTGAATTTAAGTCTTTACCCATGTTAGGCAGGTGTTCTATACCACAGGCATGCCCACTACCGTTGATATTTTTTTAGTAACATTTTTATCAAGATGTAATTCATGTATCCTAGAGTTTGCTACCCTGTTTCAGTATCATACTGGGGTGGGGAGGTGAGAATTGAGCCCAGAGCCTTGCACATTCTACATGTTAGGCAAATGTTGCACTATACTTCCGCCCAAGTTTGTCCTTTTTTTTTTTTTTTTTTTTTTTTTTTGGGGGGGGGGGGTCCGGTCGTGGGCCTGAACTCTGGACCTGGGTGCTGTCCCTCAGCTCTTCAGCTCAAGGCTAGCGCTCTACTTGAGCCACAGCGCCACTTCCGGCTTTTTTCTTTTTGCTTATGTGGTGCTGAGGAATCGAACCCAGGGCCTCATGCATGCAAGGCAAGCGCTCTACCACTGAGCCACCTTCCCAACCCGTCCTTTTAAAATACACTGAATATTTTAAAATACTCCTGAGGAGCTAGGATTACAGGTGTGAGCCACCAGTGCTCAGCTCTGCTTGTATTTGTTTGTGTGACAGTCTTGGGTTTGAACTCAGGGCATAGGCACTTTCCTTGAGCTTTTTTTCCCTCATGGCTAGCACTCTGCCACTTGAACCACAGCTACACTTCTAGCTTTTTTTTGGTGGTTAATTGGAAATGAGAGTATCATGGCTTTTCCTTCCTGAGCTGGCTTCAAACCACGATACTCCCAGTAGCTAGGATTAACTGCATGAGCCACTGGCACCAGATTTTAAGATACCCTTAAGTGACCATTTAGAGCTCCTCCCCTGGCCCAACCTCTGTTTTAGAATTATGAAGGAAGTTTTTTTTTTAGTTTTTATTTTTTTTAATCTTAATACCTGAGACAGCAGACCGATTACATCAGAATTTTTGAGAGTGGTGCCGGGGACACCAGTTATTTTTTAATTCCCCTCCCCCAGGGGGTTCTGATGTACATGCAGGTTGAGAACCATTGTGCTAGCTCCCCTGGGACCCTGGCACAGTGTTTGGAACTTGAGATCAAGTTGTGACAAGGACACATCCATCCCAGGCTGGCTTTGGATTTACTGTGAAACCTTGAACAGATTCTTGTCCCTGACTTGGTTTCGGTAAAATGGTACTTAGGTTACATTAGTGGCTCTCACTTTCAGGGATAAAGTGTGAGAGATAAGAGTTGGGAGTGAGCGTTGTTCCAAATCACCTGGAAGCAGTTTCAGAAACTGTACCCGCCCAACATAAGAAGTTAAAACAACCCGAGTGTGGTTTATACTTTGCCAACATGAATCACCCCTCTCTTGGGAGGAAGTGTTTAGTGGAATCATGCATCTCATTGAATGACTTTTTTAAAATAGGAAGTGTAGTACTGATTATTATAGCATTTCCTCACATTGCCTGTCATAGGGGTTGGGTTGTGCCATTTTGCATTCCTTTTTTGTTGTTGATACTGGAACTTCATCTCAATGACCTCCTTCCTGATCTAGCTCAGCTTTAGCTATTTTTCTCAATTGAGTCTCATATAATAATTATTTTATTTTTATTTTTTGTTAGCTTGAATTCAGGACCTGGGCGCTGTCTCTGAGCTTTTTTGCTCAAGGCTAGCACTCTCTCGCTTTAAGCCACAGCTCCACTTATGGTTTTTGAGTGGTTAATTGGAGATAAGAGTCTCATGGGGACTTTTCTGCCTGGGCTGCCTTCAAAACATGATCCTCAGATCTCAGCCTCCTCCCTGAGTAGCTAGGATGATAGGCACAATAAGCCATTGGTACCTGGCTTCATATTATTTTTTAAAAGCCTGGAGCTGGCTTCAGACCTTAATCTTCCTGCCTTTGCCTCTCAAGTAGATGTGATTACATGTGCTGCAAACCACCTTTCTCCATTTGCATTCTTGCCAGCAATAAAAGAGCATCCTGATTTTGCCAGGGTTTTACTAACAAACTCTTGTCAGATAGATGGTTTGGATTTTTGCCAATCTGTTGTGAGAGAAATGGTGGCTCCATGCAGTTATCATTGGAATTTCTCCCTTGGGAGCGGGGCTGATTGTCTTCATAGGGCAAAGACACGTTCACTTTTCCTGTGAACTCCCAGAGCTCTAGCCCATTTTCTTACAGGTTTGTTGGCCCTTTAAGTATCTGTGGATATCTTTACATGTTTAGGATATCAAGCCTTTATCAGTGTTATGAATTACAAATATTTGTTCTAGTTTATTATTTATATCTTTACTTTTATTTTTTTCCATATAGAATTCATTTGTATAGTTGAATCTATTGATTCCGTTTCCCCCTCCCCCCCAAGTGCTTCTGGATTTTTAAAATCCTTAATTGTCATCAGCCTCTTGTGATTGTTTGAGTCTCCTATGTAAATTTTGTTTCTTGCATCCATATTCATTACTCTCATTAGTATCCATTCTGAATTCAAGTTCCCATGAAACCTGACAACATGGCATCCTCCCTGGTACCTTGTGTGGTTTAGTCACTGTTGTGTTCGAGATCTCTGGAAGTATCTGACTAATGAAAGGCAAACAAGAACAGAGGACTCAGATTTCCGGGTCTTGGTCCAGGCCAATTGGATCACAATGTGTGGCAGACATGGGGAAAGCCCTGGACTTGGGGAGTAAAGAGTCATCTCCTCTAGTACTTCTGGCCTGTTCCCCTCCTTTGCATACCACTTGGTGGTTTTAAGGGCCCTCTGGCTCAGCAGTGGTTAAGGGTGAAGGTCTGGATGTAGACAAGCAGGCCTCAGGATGCTCAGTGTGTCTCCGGGGCTTGTGATTGTTCTTTGGATGTGTGTTACCTTGTGAGATTTCAATTCAGACTTTTCTCTCCCTGCAGCATTCCTTGAAGAAAAGAGGAACCCGTTCTCTGGGAAAGACAGACAAGAAGCCTTCAGCACAGGTACTACCCAATAGCTCCTGAGGCAGTGGCAGTCTAAAACTAACTTCACTTGAGAGGAGGGTAGCCTATGAGCCAGACTCTTGCAAGACCAACATGCTAACTTACGTGATAATTCCAAAGGACTCGAATCACTGACCTTGGCTTTGTTGTCTGACTCTGCGAGTGTGTGTGTGTGTGTGTGTGTGTGTGTGTGTGTGTGTGTGTGTGTGTGTATACACATGTGTATGCATACACATGTGTAGGTGCTGGAGCTTAAACTCAGGAGGGCTCGGATGCTGTCCCTGAGATTTTTTGCCCAAGTTTAGCCCTCTGTCACTAGAGCCACACCTCCACTTTTGGCTTTTTGATAGTTAATTGGAAATAATAGAGTCTCATGGACTTTCCTACCTGGGCTGGCTTCAAACCATGATCCTCAGATCTCTGTCTCCCGAGTAGCTAGGATTGCAGGTGTAAATCATTAGCCCCAGGTTTGATTGACATATAATTGTAGTGAATCACTTCAACTTTCTGGCCTCAGTTTCCTCGTCTATGCCTCTGGTGAGTTTAAGAATCAGATACAAGCATGCCAAAAAAAAAAAAAAAAATCAAATGCTACCTGTTGTGCCTGGCAGGCACAGAATACCATTGTATTCTGCTGCTAATGGTAATGGCCTGCCCAGGTCCCAGGTGCTTTTCCTATGGAGGCAAGGAGTTTTACCACCCCATTTTCCAGGTGTGGGGAAACTGTAATAAGAAGGCCCTCAAGGGTTGGGCTGCGTCAGCCCAGCACATGGTTAGTGCTGAGCCCCACCAACCTGTCTGTCCCCCTGTGCACCCTGCTCCAGGAGGACAGTGCGGATCTGAAGTGCCAGCTGCATTTCGCCAAGGAAGAGTCGGCCCTCATGTGCAAGAAGCTCACCAAGCTGGCCAAGGAAAACGACAGCATGAAGGAAGACCTGCTCAAGTACCGCTCGCTCTACGGGGACCTGGACGCCGCCCTGTCGGCCGAGGAGCTAGCGGACGCCCCGCACTCGCGGGAGACGGAACTGAAGGTGCATCTGAAGCTGGTGGAAGAGGAAGCCAACCTGCTGAGCCGCCGCATCGTGGAGCTGGAGGTGGAGAACCGGGGCCTGCGCGCTGAGATGGACGACCTGCGGGACCACGGCGTGGGCTGCCCGGGCGGCTGCCCTGGGGGGCCCGAGGCGCGGTTGGCCCTGGCAGCGGCGCTGGGCGCAGGCGAGTGCAGCGAGAGCCTGGCGGAGCTGCGGCGGCACCTGCAGTTCGTGGAGGAGGAGGCCGAGCTGCTGCGGCGCTCGTCGGCCGAGCTGGAGGACCAGAACAAGCTGCTGCTGAGCGAACTGGCCAAGTACCGCGCCGAGCACGAGGCCGACGCGCCCGCGCCGTCGTCGGAGGACGGCAGCGGCCCGGCGCTCGGCGAGCCCTCGCGGGAGGAGCTGGCGGCCGCCAAGCTGCAGATCGGGGAGCTGAGCGGCAAGGTCAAGAAGCTGCAGTACGAGAACCGCGTGCTGCTCTCCAACCTGCAGCGCTGCGACCTGGCCTCCAGCCAGAGCGCGCGCCCCGCGCTGGAGACGGACGCGGAGGCCGGGGACTCGGCGCAGTGCGTGCCCGCCCCGCCGGGCGAGGCGCCCTCCGCCGCCAGCGCCGCCAGCGCCGGCACCGCCGCCGCCCGGCTCGGCAGAGCTCGCGAGGCCGAGGCCCTGCCCGGGCTGCGGGAGCAGGCCCTCCTGGTCAGCAAGGCCATCGACGTCCTGGTGGCCGACGCCAATGGCTTCTCGGCGGGCCTGCGGCTGTGCCTGGACAACGAGCGCACCGACTTCCGGCTGCACGAGGCCCCCGACAACAGCGAGGGCCCCCGGGACGCCAAGCTGGTCCACGCCATCCTGGTGCGGCTGAGCGTGTTGCAGCAGGAGCTCAACGCCTTCGCCAGGAAGGCCGACTCCGCCCTCGGGGTCCCCGGCAAGGAGCAGCCTGAGCCCTTCTTGGGGCCCCAGGGGTCTTGCAAGGAGATTATCCTGGCCAAAGACCTTGGCTCCGACTTCCAGGTAACACGCTGCAGTCCCAGCCTTTATTACTTAATTATGTCATTATTATTATTTTGATGCCTATCCCTAGGCTTGAACTCAAAGCTTTTGTGCTCAAGGCTAGTGCTTTACCACTTGAGCCACAGCTCCTTTTCTGGCTTTTTGGGTGGTTAATGGAGTCTCGTAATCTTTCCTGCTCAGTCTGGCCTCAAACCTCAATCCTTAGATCTCACCCTCCTGAGTTGCTAGGATTACAGGGGAGAGCCACCAGGGCTCCACCTGATTAATTTCTTCTGAACATTGTATCGAACCTTATAGGCAGAGAAAGTACCACACCACACCAACCTGCACACCAGCACAGCTTCACGAGCTTTCCCATGGAGATCACAGCCTTGCACTGGGTCACCTAGAGTATGACAAAAGCACCTGGCAGCCCCTCACCCACAGCCAGTTTCAAGGACAACCCCTTTCCTCACTTGATTTTTTTTTTTTTTGGTCGGTTGTGGGGCCTGAACTCTGGGCCTGGGCGCTGTCCTCAGCTCTTCAGATCAAGGCTAGTGCTCTACCACTTGAGCCACAGCACCACTTCCAGCTTTTTCTGCTTATGTGGTGCTGAGGAATCAAACCCAGGGCCTCATGCATGCTCTAGGCAAGCACTCTACCATTGAGCCACCTTCCCAGCCCCAACACTTGATTTTTTTAAATCTATCTTTTAAACATGCAATTGAATCATATAATTTATACAAATAAACTGCCTAGCAGCTTTCACTTTACTTGCTAGTTCATAAAATCTTCCTCATCTTTAGATACAAGACCATTGGTTGAATGGAGCACTAAGAGTAGTCACTGACTCAGGCTTCGTCTTCTTTCCAGGTTGTCACCCTCTTCCTTTTAACCGCTAGAGCTGAAGATGGAAGCCAGGGCCTTGCACTTGCTAAGGCAAATGTTTTAATGCTGAGCTACTCCCCTTTCCTTTCTTCTTTTCAACTTTCTTTTGTAATTTTGTATTTTAAAACAAATATGTATTTTTTTAAGGTTTTTGATCAGTTTCTGTGCAAAAGCAAGACTTGCAACTTTTTACTGGCAAAGAAATGGCATCCTTGGTGTTCATTAAGTATTACTTAGAAAAACCAAAATAGCTAAAGCACTATTGAAAAAGTAGTACATAAACATTCAAGAAGGTTCAGAAGTTGTCAAGTATCTGGAGTAGTCAGTCATGTGCAGTAATCACTGTCACACATGGCTAGAGATGGAGCTCAGTGGTACAGTGCTCATCTAGTATGCACAAGAGCCTGCCTTCCATCCTTAGCAGACAGGACAAACAAGAGAATGGAAGAAAGGAAGGAAAGAAGGGAGTGCGAAAGAAGGAAGGAAGGAGGTTAGGCCATGTTTAAATTATATAAATCATATATGAGTGAAAATTCAGAGCCATGTTTCAAGTGCCCAGTTGTCACATATACCCAGTTGCATGGGTCTAGATCTAGTTCCATCCTTCCAGGATACCCTTCAAAATCTTTCTCCAAGCCAGGTGCTGGCGGCTCACACCTGTAATCCTAGCTACTCAGTAGGCTGAGATCTGAGGATCATGGTTCAAAGCCAGCTCAAGTAGGAAAGTCCATGAGACTCTATGTTTAATTAAACATCAAGAAGCTGTAAGTGGAGCTTTGACTCAAGTGGTAGAGCACTAGCCTTGAGCAAAAGAACTTAGGGATAGTGCCTGGGCCCTGAGTTCAAGCTCTAGGATTGGCACCAAAAAAGAAAAAAAAAATTTCCCACAAGAATGTATTTATCTCCCAGCTTGTCTAATGTTAGGTCTTCTGTTGCTGCATAATATATTTTTCTCATGCCTGTATCTGTATGTCCATTTGCCACAATGCCACATTTATTGATGTTAGGTTTTTAATGCCCAGCATTGGAGGGGCTGTGGTGAGCAAACCCACTTTTCCCAAACCTCCCTTCTCCTAAGTCCTTTCTTTTCTTTTCTTTTTTCTCCCAGCTATGAGGTTTGAACTCAGGGCCTGGGCAGTGACCCTATGAGCCCCTTTGCAGAAGTCCAGTGCTCTATCACTTTGAGCCACAGCTCTGCTTCTGGTTTCTGTCTTTCTTTCTTTTTTTCTTTTGCTAGTCCTGGGGCTTGAACTCCGCCCCAGGGGCACTGTCCCTGAGTTTCTTTTGCTCAAGGCTGGCATTCTACCACTTGAGCCACAGCACCATTTCGGCTTTTTTTTTTTTTCTGTATATGTAGTACTGAGGAATCGAACCCAGGACTTCATGCATGTTAGACAAGCACTCTACCACTAAGCCAAATTCCTAGCTCTTTCCCTTATTTTCTAGTGGGGAAGAATTCACCAAAATATCAAGTCAGGCAAACTGAAGGAAAAGCATGTGGCTTTATGGACAAGGAACTTGACCTACATTGGCAGACTAGATGAGAGGAAGAAGAACATGATGTGTCCATGGAACTAAGCAAAGAGGCAGAGGCTGGACTGCAGACCAGTCTTGAGAGAGGTTGAACAACAGACTCATCCTGAGAGCACAGCAGGTGTCTTTCTGTGACTGTATAGGCAGATTTGATTTTGTCTTTTTTTTTGGGGGGGGGGTCTGGTCATGGTGCCCGAACTCTGGGCCTGGGCGCTGTCCCTCAGCTCTTCAGCTCAAGGCTAGCGCTCTACCACTTGAGCCATAGCACCACTTCCGGCTTTTTCTGCTTATGTGGTGCTGAGGAATCGAACCCAGGGCCTCAGGCTTGCAAGACAAGTGCTCTACCACTGAGCCACCTCCCCAGCGCCTTGATTTAGTCTTTTTAACCATGTCTTTTAAATACAGTGGCCCTGTGCCATAATTTCCTTGCAGTAAGGCCCTGTGGCTCTGATTTGGTCTGGCTTTTTTTTTTTTTTTTTTTAGCAAGCAGGCAGTCCCATGTTGAATCTCTCTTTTGTTTCTTAGTGAAGTAGAGTGAAATAGGACCACACAGGTGGAAGACAGTCTGGCTGTTTCTGCAAGCCATGCACAAAACAGATATGCACAAAATGAGAATTTGTGCCCATACTTACCTACTCATTCATCTTTTCAACAATGTTCATTGAAAGGTGCCCGGCAAGGCTGGGTCTAGACTATAGACAGAGATGGATCCTCTTAGGTTCCACCCACATGTGGGTGGTCCCAGACCTGTAGAAACTGGGCATCTTCTCATGCATATTTATCTTTGTTACCTTCTGCCTTGTGTCTGCGTAGTCGCCGGACTTCAGGGACCTGCCAGAATGGGAACCCAGGATGCGGGAGGCCTTCCGCATCAGTGACTTGGATTCAAAGCCTGATCCCAGTCGGAGCTTCCGGTCTTACCGAGCTGAAGATAATGATTCCTATGCCTCTGAGGTGGGTCTGGGTCTTGGCCTACTCAAGAAGTAGGTTAGGTGGCAAGAGAGAGGCTGGATCCTCCCCAAAGCGAGTGATCCGTGGAGGATGATGACATGTCATGAGCATTCCATTTGATTCCAAACGGAAGTTTGGACAGTTCTCATGACCTAATCAAAGGAAGTTTATAAGATTTTTCTTCTGTACTAAATTCCACAGGGAATTGAGTAATTTATGTCATTTCATGAAGCCATGAAACTATTTTTTTTTTTGCATATGTGTGCTAGTACTTGGCTCTGTCCCTTAGCTTTGCCCATTCAAGGCTGTCTCTACTACTTGAGCCATTGCTTCACTTTCTGCTTTTTGGTGGTCAATTGGTCTCTTTCTTATTTTTTCTCTCTTTCTTTCTTTTCTTTCTTTCTCTCTTTTCTTTCTTTCTCTCTTTCCTTTCTTTCTCTCTTTCCTTTCTTTCTCTCTTTCCTTTCTTTCTTTCTTTCTTTCTTTCTTTCTTTCTTTCTTTCTTTCTTTCTTTCTTTCTTTCTTTCTTTCTTTCTTTCTTTCTTTCTTTCTTTCCCTCCCTCCCTCCATCTCTCCCTCCCTCTCTTCCTCCCTTCTTTCCTTCCTTCCCTCCCTCTTTCTTTCTTCCTTCCATTCTTCCTTCCTTCCTTTCTTTTCTTTCTTTCTTTCTTCCTTTCTTTCTTTCTTTCTTGTTGGTTGTGGGGCTTGAACTCTGGGCCTGGGTGCTGTCCCTCAGCTCTTCCGCTCAAGGCGAGTCCTCTACCACTAGAGCCACAGCACCACTTCCAGAGATAAGAGTCTCACCGACTTTCCTGGCTGGCTTTGGAAATGCCATCCTCAGATCTCAGCCTCTTGAGTAGCTAGGATTTCAGGCATGAGCCACCAATGCCTGGCATGAAACCTGCTAGTTCATACAGCAGGGAGGCAACAGACTCCACAGTCACGCTTTTGGGATTCCGCTTGTGGACCTGCTGTGTACTGGCTGAGCTCTTGGATGAGTTCATATCCCTGATTCATCTATGAAATGAAGGTTCTGGCTGGGTGTGGTGGTACACTTCTGTAATACCAGCACTTAAGAGTCTGAGGCAGGGCTGGGAAGGTGGCTCAGTGGTAGAGTGCTTGCCTTGCATGTATGAGGCCCTTGGTTTGATTCCTTAGTACCACATAAGCAGAAAAAAGCCGGAAGAGGTGCTATGGCTCAAGTAGTAGTGTGCTAGCCTTGATCTGAAGAGCTGAGGGACAGTGCCCAGGCCCAGAGTTCAGGCCCCATGTTTGACAAAAAAAAAAAAAAGAGTCTGAGGCAGTTGAATCAAGAATTTAAGTCCAGGCTGAGTATATGGCTTAGTGGTAAAGTGCTTGCCTAACATGCATAAAGCCCTGGGTTAGATTCCTTAGTACCACATAAACAGAAAAAGCTAGAAGTGGCACCATGGCTCAAGTGGTAGAGTGCTAGCCTTAAGCAAAAGAAGCTCGGGGAAAGTGCCCAGGCCCTGAGTTCAAGCCCCAGGACTGGCAACAAAACAAAACAAAGAAACCATCCTGGGCTGCATCGTATGATACCTATTTCCAAAAACCAAAGCAAACAAAAAGTCCCTCATAGGGTTGTTGAAAGAGACTTTAGTTCTATGTGGAGGAGGAAGTGGAGGAGCAAGAAATACCATTTGGACCCTGAGTCCAAATTGGGACCTACGTCCAGTTCTGCGAGTGTGCCACTGTGGCTGTGTGATATTGACCACATCCCCACCACCACCCATCCGCTTGCCAGATCCACCTCTCCCATCTGTAAGATGGAAGGGTTAGAATTGCTAGGCTTCTCTGATTCTTAAGGAATCCTCTTGGTTCACAGCAACGCCTACTCATGGGGCCTGGAGGACTGAGTGGGTGGGTATCTCTGAGACTCTGCACTTGGTGAGTTGTATAGACCCCAGCCTGATAAGCATTCTTGAGTAGATAGCCTTTGCAGATAAGTTAGTTCTGCCTGAAATGGTACAGAACTCCCTGGAAACTGACAGATCAAACTTTTAAAGCAAGATAGTTTGAGCTTCCTAGTAGCCATGACAAGGAGGAAAAAAGTATATGTATGTAAACTGGTATGTAGCTTAGAGGTAGAGAAATGTGCTTAGCATGCGAAGCCCTGGATTTAGTCTCCAGTACCGTAGAAAATAAAGAGGGATTGCTGGCTCTAAGAATGAAGCTCAGGGGCTGGGAAGGTGGCTCAGTGGTAGAGCGCTTGCCTTGCATGCCTGAGGCCCTGGGTTCAATTCCTCAGCAGCACATAAGCAAAAAGAAAAAAGCCGGAAGTGGCGCTGTGGCTCAAGTGGTAGAGCGCTAGCCTAGAGCTGAAGAGCTAAGCCACAGCGCCCAGGCCCAGAGTTCAGGCCCCATGACTAGACTCAAAAAAAAAAAAAAAAAAAAAAGAATGAAGCTCAGTGTGGTAGACCCCTTGTCTACCATGGATGAGACTACATTACATCCTCAGTATTGAAATGGGATAAGATACTTGGTTCAAATTTTCTGAAAAAAGGAAATGAGCCTATTTCTATTTCTAAGGCTCACTTAGAGAGAAAATTATTCCCTGCACAAATTTAAGTATTGTTTGCACTCTGTGAAGCAGTTGTAACTGAAGCAAGCACTGGGCTAGAGACTGAGCCCAAGGAAGAGAGAGAGCAGACAGGATCCAGCCCTGTAAAGATTTTATTACAACAGACACACATGACCTACCGCAAATCAGTGTGGCTCAGTGGTAGAATACCTGCCTAAGTAGCAAGCTCAAGGCCCTAAATTGAAACTCCAGAGTCACACATTTAAAAAAAAAGTTATTGTTTTAAATTCACCAACATAATGAGTGTTTATTTGCTTGCATAGAGTGACATCTGCCATGCCTAGACTGGCATTTCCTCTGTTTTTTTTTTTTCTTTTATATATTTATTTATTTTTATTGTGAAAATACTGTACAGAGGGATTACAATTACATGGGCAAGATAATGAGTACATTTCTTTCTTTCTTTTTTTTTTTTGGGTCCGATCGTGGGGCCTGAACTCTTGGCCTGGGCGCTGTCCCTCAGCTCTTCAGCTCAAGGCTAGTGCTCTACCACTTGAGCCACAGCACCACTTCCGGCTTTTTTCTTTTTGCTTATGTGGTGCTGAGGAATCGAACCCAGGGCCTCAGGCATGCAAGGCAAGCGCTCTACCACTGAGCCACCTTCCCAGCCTATGAGTACATTTCTTATCAAGCATTGTAGCCTCCTCCTTTGTTTCCCCTTCCCATCCCTTCCCATCCTCCCCCCACCCCCCACCCAATCCTCCCCACTCCCCCCGCCCCCCCTTTTATTTTCTTTATTTAATATGGTAGCATAAACATTTTCTTCCCTTACCAGAAAAACTTAAAACATTTTCTTTTTGTTTTGAGATGGTTTCTTGCTGTGTTGTCCAGGCTGGTCTTGAACTCACAGGCTTATGTGATCCTCCTGCCTCGGGTGCCACTGGCTACACTGGGTTTTTTGGGGGCTGTCCTGTGGATTGAACCCAGGGATTCAAACTTGCTAGTGAAGGACTCTGTCTGTCCCTTAAACTATGTCTCCAGCTCTTTTTGTTTGTTTGTTTTTGTTTTGATTTGTCTGGTTTCTGAGAGAAGGTCTCATTAAGCTTATTTAGGCTGGACTTGAACTCAGAATCCTCCTGTTCAGCCCTGTTCCCACTCCCTCACCTTGCCCAGCTAAACTGTTTCACTAGTATACAACACATAAACAGAAGAGTGCTCATGGGCTGGCACAACATTTGCCAGTGTGCCAAAGCCCTGGGCTCCATCCCAACACTGAGAATAAAACAAAAATGCCCGTGGCTTTTCACCAACTGACCACTCCTAGGTCATCAGCACCTCATCAGTAAACAGCATGATCCTCTCCCCAAGATCCCAGTGCTTCCTGCTAGAAACCATCTGGACTTCTAAAAGAATACATGCTGTAATGCTTTCAAACATCATTTCTCCAGAAAATGTAGAATTTTATTGTTACTATCTTTTTTTCTGCCTTTTTTCCTCCCTAGTACTGAGGATTGAGGATTGAACTCAGGGCCTCTATCATGTGAGCTATGCGCCAAACCTTTGGGATTTTTTTTTTTTTTTGTCAGTCATGGAACCTAAACTCTGGGCCTGGGCGCTGTCCCTTAGCTCTTCAGATCAAGGCTAGTGCTCTACCACTCAAGCCACAGCACCACTTCCAGCTTTTTCTGCTTATGTGGTGCTGAGGAATTGAACCCAGGGCCTCATGCATGCGAGGCAATCTCTCTACCACTGAGCCACCTTCCCAGCCCAACCTTTGGGATTTTTTAAAATTTAAATTTTTTTTTTTTTTTTTTTTTTTTTTGGGGTCCGGTCGTGGGGCCTGAACTCTGGGCCTGGGCGCTGTCCCTCAGCTCTTCAGCTCAAGGCTAGCGCTCTACCACTTGAGCCACAGCACCACTTCTGGCTTTTTCTTTTTGTAAATTTTTTTTCAGTGCTAGAGTTTGAACTCAGGGTTTTGGGCTTGCTTCGCTGGTGTTCTATCACATGAGTCACCTGTTTAGGACTGCTTTTTTTTTTTTTTTTTTTTTTTTTGCTGGTAAATTTGGAAATAAGAGTCCAGCAAACTTCAGCCTAGTCTGGTCTTGAACCTTAACCTCCAGATCTCAGTTTTCTAAGTAACTAGAATGACAGGCATGGGCCACTAGTACCCAGCTCAATTTTGTTTTTAACATAGGATCTCATTAACTTTTCCTAGACTGGCCTCCAACTTTGATCCTCTTGCCTCTACCTCCCAAGTAGCTTGGATTACAAACAAAACCATCACACGTCTTTTTCTTTTGCTCTTATTACATAGTCATTGTAAATGAGAAATAACTACAACAAAATCTCTAATTAGTATTAAATAAAAATGTAAAGAAAAGCCAAGGTGCTGGTGGCTCACTCCTGTAACTAACTACTTCAGGAGACTGAGATCTGAGGATCATGGTTCAAAGCCAGCCCAGGCAGGAAAGGCCGAGAGACTCTTTTTTTGTTGTTGTTGTTGGTCGTGGGCTTGAACTCTGGGCTTGGGCACTATCCCTGTGCTCTTCAGCTTCAGGCAAGAAAGTACTCTATCGCGTGAGCTACAGCATCACTTCCTACAGCATCACTTCCGGTTTTCTAGTGGTTTATTGGAGATAAGAGTCTCACAGATTTTTCTGTCCAGCTGGCTTTGAACTTGATCCTCAGATCTCAGCCTCCTGAGTAGCTAGGATTACAGGCGTGAGCCACCAGTGCCCAGCCCGTGAGACTCTTACTTCTAATAAACCACTCAGAAAACCGACGTGGTACTGTGGCTCAAGTAGTAGAGCACTAGCCTTGAGATGAAGAGCTGAGGGACAGCACCCACGCCCAGAGTTCAAGCCTCACAACCAACCCAAAAAAAAGATGTAAAGAAAAAAGTCAAGCTCATATAATTAACCACTGTTTAAATTTAGTGTGTTCCTGTCACTTATTGCTTAATAATATACATACAATAAAGGATAGTAGAACCCTTAAGTGTACAGTTAGATGAATTTTTACATATATGTCCACTACCGTTTTTGTCCCCATCGTTTATTATTTAAATTGTTTCTAAGGTTTTGCATTTATAGCACAGCTGGTTATGGTGTGCATACCTGTAGTCCCAGCTACTCAGGAGATAGAGGCAAGATCAGTAGAATCTTAGAGTTCAAGGCTCAGGCTACCTAGCCAGACCCTCATCTCAGAAATTAAATAAGTAAATGAGAGAATCAAATTTAATTTTCACAATTATTTTTTTCATCTAAATTTTAAAGAGTAAAATTAAGTTAAAATTATAACCATTGCTGAGCTTTGATGGCTCACGTTTATAGTCCTAGCTACTCAGGAGACTAAGACTCTGAGGACCACATTTCAAGGCTAGCCCCAGGCAAGAAAGTTCACGAGACTTTGCCAGAAGTGGAGCTGTCGCTCAAGACATAGAATGGTAGGCTTGAGCACAAAAGCTCAGGGACAGAACCCAGACCCTGAGTTCAAGCCCTAGCAGTAGTGTGTGCATGCATGCACAGGCATGCACACACATACACACATACAAATCAATATATACATTTGGGTGTTTGTTTTATTTAATTGACATGACCACCCACTGCAGCTGGGACAGCCATTGCTCTAGAGGGATGCTTGGGTCTAGTTTGCCACTGGTCCCTATTGCCTTCCATCCTTTGACCACAGCCTCCTTCTCCTCTCTCCTCTTGTCTGTGCCCCCCACCCCCACCACAGATCAAGGAGCTGCAGCTGGTGCTGGCCGAGGCCCACGACAGTCTCCGTGGCCTGCAAGAGCAGCTCTCCCAGGAGCGGCAGCTTCGGAAGGAAGAAGCCGACAACTTCAACCAGAAACTGGTCCAGGTGGGTGATATTGAGGCCCTGCACCTACTTCAGTCTGTCCTCTTAGCTCTGAAAGCAAGAGGGGCTAGGGGAATGGCTCAGAGGGAATACTTGCCCAGCATGTGAGGGGCTCTGGGTTACATCCCCAGCATTGCAAAAACAAGCAAAATATCTGAAGGCAGGGTCCTTAGGGATGCTTGGGTCTCACCTAGAAGGTAAGAAGGCCCTGCAGCTCAAGACTTGCAGCTCCACATCCTACTAGGGTGTCAGTACACTAATAATTGTGCATCAGCCATGTTGGGCTGGAGTCCTGGACTTGGCATGGGCCGCCTGTGTGACCAGGGGCCAATCCCATTTCCCCTCAAGGCCTCACTTTCTCATGTATGAAATGTTCCTGACAGGCCTGGCTGGTGATCCATTTGCCAGTCCCATTGCATCCGTTAATCAGAACCATGTAATGCACATCCATCCCTTACATCCTTTAGAGCCTCCAGTCCTCCTCTGTAAGGGGTGTCCATTTTATAGGTGTGGAAAATGAGGCCCAGAGAGAGCTGAAGTGCTTTGCCCATGGTTGCACATCCCACATCTCTGGCTCTTCTTAGCCATGATCCAAGTTGATGCCTTGGATGTTGCATCCATCAGCCTCCTGGGAGCCCAGCATGCTCTTGCTCTCCACATAGTTACCTTCCTGTTCTCAGTCCCTCACCCTTGTGGGTCCCTCATCTATTGTGTCATGGGAACATCTAGTTGCCCACTAGGTCCTCAGGGTGTGATCACATGGTGATTTTTCACACTGAATTGGGACTGTGACTGCAGCTGCTTTTGTGAGTTCATCATCCCTGGGTAGGATCCGGATAGGAATCACTGGCAGGTACCACCAACTTCCACCCCATGCCCTTCATCTGGGCCCAGCTGGGCCGGAGTGGGAGGAACTGAGCCAGTGTCTGTCTGAACCCTACAGATGAAGGAGGATCAGCAGAGGGCGCTGCTGAGGCGAGAGTTTGAGCTGCAGAGCCTGAGCCTGCAACGGAGGCTAGAACAGAAGTTCTGGAGCCAGGAGAAGAACATGCTGGTGCAGGAGTCCCAGCAATTCAAGCATAACTTCCTACTGCTCTTCATGAAGCTCAGATGGTTCCTGAAGCGCTGGCGGCAGGGCAAGGGCTTGCCCAGCGAGGGGGATGACTTCCTGGAGGTATGCTTAGCCTAGGGCTAGGACTGGGGAGCAGTAAGGGCTCCAAAGCTTCAGGCTAGCATCTGAGTTGCGTGCGCTTGCTTACCATGTTCAATGACCTTGGCTGGAGGGGAGTCCATCCCCAGCACCAAAACCAAAACAAACCAGGCTAAGCCCTGAAGTTTCCAGAGGAAGGACTGTGTACCTGTCTGTGTTCAGATTATCAAAAGACAGAACAATTCTTGTACCAGGGGTGGAATTGGGCTTTTTATTCCTGCAGATTGATTCCCCACCACCCCACCTCCCCTACATACTTCCCTGCCTCATTATCTTCCTACATGCAACACTTGGAATCCTTCTTCCTTTGGTGTCTCCATTTTCTTTCCACTTCCCTGTTCATGACCCCATCCTTCAGTGGTGCTGGGGATGGAACTCAGAAACTCATGCATGCCACGTACTCTTTCTGTCTCTGAGCTTCACCCCCAGTCACCTGACCTCAGCTCTTAGGTCAGAGTCTGACAGAAGTCTTTTTGTTCTTTCCCTACTCTGCTTCCCTTGAGGCAGAGGTTTCAGACGCCTCTTCTGGACGCTTGAGTTCCAAATGCTTCCTCCAGCCTAGGCATTTCCCCAGAATTTGACAGATCCATGTAGGTACCCAAAAGGCTTTGTGAATGTTTTGTCCAAAACCAGCTAGCACTTCCTGTCATGACAGCTGCTCCTTGCTCAGGCCAAAAGCAGAGGCAGCATCTTCTCCCATCTCTTCCCAGAGCGCCTCATCGATCCTTTGGCAAATCCTGTCCGCTGCCCCCAGATCAGCCATCCCCACTGCCCCTGTTCTAGTCACGTTCAGGTCTTGCTTGAATGACTGCTTTTGCCATCTGACTGGTCTCCCAGCCTCTGCCCTCATTTGGGGCACCATGCAGCTTGTGGTCCGTGTGAACACACTCTGGAGTGGTCCAGTACAGCTGTGTCTCAGCTAAAGCCAGCTTGTGAAACCAAAAGTCAGCTTGGTGTCCCTCCTTGGCTCACAGTTCTCACCCAGAGTCAAGGTCAAGTCCCTACCATGACCTTATTCTTCATACCTCTCTCACTTCCTCCAGGCTCCTCCTCATTCAGGCTCATTTCTACCTTAGCTCTTTTGCACATGTTGTACCCTCTGCTTGCAGTTCTCCTCCTCCAGGTATTCTCATGGCTCACTAACTACTTTCAGGACTTTTCCTAAGTACCCCTTCTCTTGACAGCCCTCATTGACCACATGCAGTCCAGCCTACCAGCTTCCCTCTTCTCTTCCTCTGTAGAAACTGCCATTATGGGATGTTCTATATCAAATAGCATTTCATCCTTGCCACTTATTTTTGTCTGTGTTCTGTAGGCTCAGGGGCCAGGATCTTTGTCTGTGTTGCTCCTGACAGTTCCTGACACTTTGTTCCTGACACTGGGCCTGGCCCTAGCAGGTGTTTACTAGATGACTGATGAGCAGATAAATGAGTGGTGACCAACAGCTCACTGAAGCTTCATTCCCAGCTGCATGGCACCCTGGGAGGGGCTGGACTCCTCTCCAGAATCCATCAGCAACATATACCCCCACCCAGAAAGGGTCCCTCCCATCCATCCAAGCCTTCTGTCTCTCTTACCCTTTACTACAGTGGGTCCACCCATAGTGCTCACCTGGCCTAGTCCGTCAACATGGTTACTTCTAAGTGACTCAGCAATGCCCCCACGATTGCTGAGACAGTAAAGATGTTAAGTAGGGGCTGGGAAGGTGGCTCAGTGGTAGAGCGCTTGCCTTGCATGCATGAGGCCCTGGGTTCCATTCCTCAGCACCACATAAGCAGAAAAAAAAAAAAGCCGAAGTGGCGCTGTGGCTCAAGTGGTAGAGCTCTAGCCTTGAGCTGAAGAGCTGAGGGACAGCGCCCAGGCCCAGAGTTGAGGCCCCAGGACCAGACCCCCCCAAAAAAAGATGTTAAGTAGTGCTTCTCAGCCAGGAAGGCCCCCCTAGGGGTCCAGGTTAAACTTGGACCTCTTCCGTCCTTCTTAGCTGTGCTACTAGCCAGAGTCCCCTGATCCCAGGGCTAAGCCTCAGGTGCAACATTCTCTACCCCCTGTTGAGTGTGGTTTTTACACATAGGTAAACAGCATGAAGGAGCTGTACCTGCTGATGGAGGAAGAGGAGATAAATGCCCAGCAGCCAGATAACAAGGCATGCACAGGAGACAGCTGGACCCAGAACACAGTACGTTCCCAGTCCCTGCCTGCCCCTCCTTATTGTCTTTCCTTTGTCCATTTGTGATTGCTGCTGCCACCTTTGGTGCAGCCAGGCACTAGGCACTGGGCACTGGGTACTAGACCTGCAGAAGGTTACTACCTGGTCACTACCCCTCTCCCCGCAAGTTGCTCAGTCTAGAGTCCATAAGTCATTCCAGGACAGTGATAGAAGACTAGATGGCAGACTGTGAGGCACAGGCAAGAAAGTTGTTAATTCTGTTGGGGCCGGGAATAGTGAGGAATGATGTAATCTCTATTTCCCAACTACTTGAGAGACAGAGATGTGAGGATCACAGTTCAAGGCTAGCCCTATGCAGAAACATGAGACCTACCCAAGAGATAACTAAAGCAAAAAGAACTGGGAGAGGGAGGCATAGATCAAATGGTAGAGTGCCTGCCAGCAAGTGTGAATAAATGAGTTCAAATTTAATACCTAAAAAAAGTGAGGTGGTAAGAATGTAGCTCAGTGGCAGAGCACTTATACAAGGCCCTAGGTTCCATCCCTCGCATTGTAAAACAATTGTATTTAGAGTATAGGGAGCAGTATCACAGAGAAAGGGTTGTAGGTGGTGAGTTTCAAAGGGTGAGTAGAAGTTCACTAATAGAGAACAGAAAGAAGGCCATTCTGGACCTAAAGGATTATGTGTGCCAAGCATGGCAAGATATTCTGGTACTGGCTGTGGCTTCATTTGTATGAAATTGGTGGATGGGTAGTGGATATCAAACTGGAGTCATCGGAAGAGGGGCCTTTGCAGTCTGGGACTAAGAACCCTCAACTGAAGCCATGGGTCAGAGGGAGCAGTGTAGTCAGGCTTCTAGGATTGTACCCAGTGAGCTGGGTGACAGCTGAGCTCAGGAGATAGGAGTTGAGATGGAGTTGGGCACACTGTGCAGGCCCCACAGAGGCCTAGCTGCTGTGAAAGGCAGATCCTGAAAAGGGAAAGAGACCCACAGCCTGGGGACTGCAGAGCCTCAGAGGCAGACTGTGATTCAGTGGGATCTGGGCAGCACAACTTTCCCCTATAACTCAGAAGCCTTTATGTGAGGCTGGCACTTAGAGGGGTAGCCAGGCCTGCCCAGGGCTGGACAAGGTCCCAGCTGTGCTCCTATGCCCAGAGGCCAGAGGCCTCTCCTTCCTGAAGTTCCTAACTCAGCCTTGTCCTGCCTGCAGCCCAGTGAGGACATCAAGACCCTGGCAGACATGAAGGTAACACTGAAGGAGCTGTGCTGGCTGCTCCGGGACGAGCGCCGTGGGCTGACAGAGCTTCAGCAGCAGTTTGCCAAGGCCAAGGCCACCTGGGAGACAGAGAGGGCCGAGCTCAAGGGCCATGCTGCTCAGGTGAGTCCCCACCTGCCAGACACTCTCTCCTGGTTCTCATGAAGCCCTTAGTGGTTAGTTCTGGAAGCAGGATGCCCGAGTCCCACTCCTGGAGGCTGTTTCACCTGGTCCCCAGAAAGGGCAGAAGACTTGTCTAGAATCACACAGCAAGGGCTTCAGGGAGCAGGAGTCAGTGGGCCAGGGGAGGAAGAGGAGGCCTGCTAGGCACTTCTCCTGCATTGTGGGTTCACAGGTGAGGTGAGGTGAGGCTAGACACTTCCAGGCCTGTCTGAACCTTGCTTGTACCTGCTTGGACTACCATTGCCTGCTGCCCCCATTTGGTCCCTTCTCTCCTCATGAGGATCCCTCAGCCCACTGCTACCTGGCTTTGAGGGTTTCCCCAACAACCACCTGACCAAAGAGACCTCTGGGAATTTGGTTTGTGCTGTGGCAACCCGTCCTGGGAGCAGGTTGCCAGCCCACTCTAGTTTGAAAAATGAAAAGGTTGGCCTCCAGCTTGGGGAAGGTTCCTTAGGCCTCTGCCCACCTAGTCACCCACAACTCCAGTCTCACCTTTCCCCAGTGTTTGCACTCCTGTTCTTCCTAATGCCCACAGCAGCATCTGCATCCCAGATCCATGCTGGGCATCGAGCTGCCAGGTTGCACATCTTCCTTGCCGCCGTGAGACCAGGGCCAGGAAAGTCGTCATGCTGCAATGCTGCCCACACCTGGGCATGACACGACTGCACGTGCACATGTGTGACTGTCCCACATGTGAGGGCCCATGTGTACTGGTGGGGTCAGCTTTCCAAGAGGGGAGATGAATATGTTCCCCTTTAACCTGTAGTGCTGGCAAGAGTTGATAAAGCATAAAAAGCAAGAGCTAGGAGCTGGGCACCAGTGGCTCATGCCTGTAATCCTAACTACCCAAGATGGGAGGTCTGAGGATTGCAGTTGTACAGTAAATCTGGGCAGGAAAGTCTGTGAGACTATCTCCAGTTAACCACCAAGAAGTCGGAAGTGGAGCTGTGGCTTAACTAGTAGAGTGCCAGCCTTGAGCAAAAAAGCCAAGGGCCAGTGCCCAGGCTCTAAATTCAAGCCCCAGGATCAGCTGTGTAGTAGCTAAGGGACCGGGGGCTCTTAGCCCTTGGAACTCTCATGCTGAGGAATGAGTTAGATGAGTTTTTGTGAGGCTTCTAAGAGGAGAGACTGGCTTCCAGAAAGAGCTTCCCAGCCCTGCTGTGAGGAGGCTTAGTGTAGGGGGTTCACAAGGCCCTCTTTCCCCATCCTTGCTGGTATCCAGCTGGCAGTCTGCAGGGAAGAGTGGAGGGGCTGCTGGTGCTGGCTGACCAGACTACTTCTTTCAGCAGATGGAGCTGAAGACTGGGAAGGGGGCCGGAGAGCGGGCTGGGCCTGACTGGAAGGCAGCCCTGCAGAGGGAGCGTGAGGAGCAGCAGCATCTCCTGGCTGAGTCCTACAGCGCAGTCATGGAGCTGACCCGACAGCTGCAGATCAGTGAGCGCAACTGGAGCCAAGAGAAGCTGCAGCTGGTGGAGCGGCTGCAGGGTGAGAAGCAGCAAGTGGAACAGCAGGTGAAGGAGCTGCAGAACCGCCTGAGTCAGGTGAGGCTGGTTCCAGCTCCAGCTGGTTTGAACCACAAGGGAAGATGGCTGGGGAGCCTTCCCTGTGCTGGATAAATCCTGAAGAGAGTCTCCTTCAGGTATAGGTAGATCTTGGTGCTCAGAAATTACAGTAAGAACTAGGTCTTCTCTATGTCTCTGTCAAGCCTGCTTTCTTCTGTGTTAGCTTTAGTCTTCCTTAAGCAAATGATCTCCAAATATGGCCATTGTTAGCTTCATGATCATATTTTACAGCTTAGCCATTGCATTGAGGAGAGTTTCGTGTCTGCCAGATTCTGATTGGTCAGGTGTGAGTCATGTGCCCATCCCTAGAGAGGAACAAAAGCAGGAGCAGAGGGGGAAGGGCCAGGAGTGGTTCCCAGGGGAAAGTTGGAATCCTTTGACCAAAAGAGGGGAGAATGAAAAGCAGTCAGTGAGAGCTATACCCCCTCTACAATTCCCATCATGCCCTAGCAACCACCCACCACCACATGTGCTCTACTCTTTTTTTTTTTTTTTTGCCAGTCCCAGGACTTGAACTCAAGGCTTGGGTGCTGTCCCTAGAAGTTCTTCTTTTTTTTTATTTTTTATTTTGTCAGTCATGAGCTTGGGCACTGTCCTTGTGCTCTTCAGCTCAAGGTGAACGCTCTACTGCTTGAGCAATAGCGCCACTTCCGGTTTTCTAGTGGTTTATTGGAGATAAGAGTCTCACGGTCTTTCCTGCCTGGGCTGGCTTTGAAGCATGATCCTCAGATCTCAGCCTCCTGAGTAGTTGGATTTCAGGCATGAGCCACCGGCGTCCGGCTCCTAGAACTTCCTTGGTTTCACTCTTTATTTTTATTTTTTTCCTTTCTTTTAATTGTTACTTTAATTATAGCAGTCAGGACTTTATCCTGTGCAAAACATAAATATTACAAGAGTATATTCCAGCTGGCTCCCTTCCTTTTCTTGCTGTTTAAATTTATATCCACGGGGCTTTGTTTGCTTTGTAGTTATTTTAATTGAATCATAATGTACATGTTATTTATAGTCTGCCTCATTGAATTGAACTATTGCTTGATGTTATATTCCTGACATATAGAAAAACTTATTTTTCCATATCTACCAAATCTAGATTGTCTCCAGTTTTTTTTTCATTATTGAAGGTAGTACCCCAGTGTGCACCCCCCACATGTGTACAAGAGTGCATGCATGGGGCTGGGAAGGTGGCTCAGTAGTAGAGCGCTTGCCTTGCATGCATGAGGCTCTGGGTTCAATTCCTCAGCACCACATAAGCAAAAAGAAAAAAGCCGGAAGTGGCACTGTGGCTCAAGTGGTAGAGCGCTAGCCTAGAGCTGAAGAGTTGAGGGACAGCGCCCAGGCCCAGAGTTCAGGCCCCATGACCGGACCCAAAAAAAAAAAAAAAAAAAAAGAGTGCATGCATGAATATTTCTGTAGGATGGATTCCTAGAAATGAAAGTGTTACATTCAAGGACAAGTTCCTGAATAGCTGATAGAGCTGCCCAGCCAGCCTCCAGAGAGGCCGTGTCCAGGAATGCTACCCCCTCCTCCCCAGCATGGTTTGAAGACCAGCTTTGCTCTGTCTTCTCTCTTCTATGCCTTTCTCTGGTTCCTAGTAAAGGTGAGCATCTCTTCATGACTTTATTGACCATTTGTTTTTCTTCTCAAGCTGTGTCCAATTGTCCAACCGCCTGCACAATCACTATCCCTTTTTCAGATAAAGCTGAGGTAAAGTGACTTGCCATGGTCATAAAATGATTAAGGCACAAAAAAGGAATTGGTAGAGCTTCCACGTCTGGTTGGTTCCTTATCCTCAGCCCTGCATCTTTTCCTGAGGGCATGGCCCTCCTCTAAGGGTTACCCCTACTATCTGTGAAGGTTGAGCCCACTAGCAGGCACTGGCCTCCTCTGAGGGAGCCTGTACCTGGTGAGTACAGGCAGTACCCAGACAAATCTCAGCACGTGCCATGTGGAAAGTAGATACGATACATCTGTGTGCACTATGAAACCAGTTCCTGTCTACAGAGAAGGATTCCCTCCTGTTAACTCTCAAAGTATTTTTAAAAGGCTCTCAAAATGTGAGAGTAGCTCCCTAGCCACTTGGAGACACACTTCAGCTCATAGGCAGAACCTAGCAGCTATCAGGTCTGGACCATCTGTCTTGTTCCTGTTTCTTCTGGAGGGATCTTATGGGAGACCTGCTGGTCCTCCAGCTCTGCCCTCCTATATCTCTGACTTGGCTCTGCCTCTTTCAGTTCAAACTAGGCCCACAAAGCAGTGCTCTTTCTTTCTCTTTCTCTCTTTCCCTCTCCCCCTCCCTCTCTCTTTCTCCCCCTCCCTCCCTCCCTTCCTCCCCACTTTTCTTTCTTTCTTTCTCTCTCTCTCTTTCTTTCATTTCTCTCTTTCTTTCTTTCTTTCTTTCTCTCTTTCTGTCTGTCTGTCTGTTATGGAGCTTGAACTCAGGGCCCGGGCACTGTCCCTGAGCTCTTTTACTCAAGACTAGTATTCTACCACTTTGAGCCACAGCTCCACTTCCAGTTTGAATGGTTAATTGGAGATAAGAGTTTCACAGGGACTTTTCTTCCTAGGCTTTTTCTTTTCTTTTTAAGTTGTGATTACATAGCCCAGGGTGGCCTCATACTCCTACTCTTCCCATCTCAGCCTCCTGAATGCTGCTGGCATTATAGCAGTGAGTGAACCATCATGCCTGGCTGTACATTCTTTAAACCAGACTCTCGGTGAGACTAGCCTGGTAAAGCAGCAGGGAGGAAAGAGCTTCTGACCAGGCGCTCCCAGCCTCACCTGGGTCTGCTAAGTACGCCTGATGGAGTCAGTTCTCTCTGGGCCTCATCTGTACAGTGAGGATAACTGGACTTGACCTCCTTGTCTTCAGGGCTGCTGTGGGAATAAAGGAGACAGCCACAAGAATACCTGGGGTAGTATCCAGCATATCTAGGCCCACCCTTTTGCTCTAAAGCAGTAAGTGTCCCAGGAACTTAGTTTGTTCCTTCCATCTGTTATTGCCCATCCTTTCATCTGTTATTGCCATGTCTTCATGTTAATGCTATTTTTGTGTTGCTGATTTTATTATTTGTCTTCTGTTGGGTTTCTACGAAGCAAAGCCTGAGATACAGGCTGAAGTACAAGCAGGGTGACTAACCTGTCCTGGTCTACATGGGACTGAGGGGGCTCTCCTCCTGGACTTCCACTGTTAGGACTGCAGCAGTGTTAGGTTTTTCAGAATGAAGAGCTTTCAGGATCATGAGATTTTTCAATGCTAACCATGGGAAAGTCCAGGGTGAGTTGGTAACCCTGTGTTTAGTCAGGGATAGATAAGCCGAGCATGTGTGCTTTCCAGTCTACCCGTGATCCACTCCACAATCCTTGTTACACTGGGGAGTTAAACCACTGGAGACACCATAAGGCCTGAGCTAAGGCTTTTGTGCTCCCATGCTTGATTTTAGGGCCTTAATGACTGTTGTCCTTTGACAGTAAGTGGGTTCTGGTTGCCCAGGGTCATCCTGGAGAGAAGGCTGTAGTGACAGGTTCAGGTGGGTTGTCAGAGCACTCTACCTTGTGACCTACTACACTGTGGCCACTGCCATTGCTGCCCCCACCTTTATTTTTTTGTTGGTCATGGGGCTTGAACTCTGAGCCTAGGTGCTGTCCCTGAGCTCTTCAGCTCAAGGGAGCACTCTGCCACTTGAGCTACAATGAATGCCACTTCCAATTTTCTGGTGGTTAATTGGAGATAAGAGTCTCATGGGGAGAAAAAAGTCTCATGGACTTTCCTGCCTGGGCTGGCCTTGAACCATGATCCTCAGATCTCAGCCTCCTGACTAGCTAGGATTACAGGCATGAGCTACCAGTGCCTGGCTTGCTGCCCTTTAATTGCTGAGTTTGAACCAGTTCTTCTCAGTCCTGAATCTCACAGGCACACCCACTGGTATAGGTGAGAATGCATGTGGGTTCTGTCACATACCACCTGGAGGTGATGGAGCTCTGAGAAAGCAATCTGATAGCACCTTGAGGAAGGAATGCCAGGAGCCCTTAGTGCTGGCCACCATTGGTGGCAGTGGGGTCCCTGGGTTTCATGATGTGTGCCTTGGAATAAGAGCAGCTGTTACTGTTTTGGTCCAGATGACTTCCACAGGATGCCTACAACTAGGCAATGTTACTTCCTAACTGCAGCTTGTAGGTAGCTCAGAGCTGCTTCCTGTTGAGATGGTGGCTCTAGATCCATACTGGGGATCCTCTGGGCTGCAGAGCAGAGCCTGGGGAGTAGCTTTGCTCAGAACAATCCCTGTGCACTGCCCTTCCTACCACTGATGTGCTGTCTTTCCCTTCTCAGCTGCAAAAGGCTGCTGAGCCCTGGCTTCTGAAGCATGCAGACCTGGAGAAGCAGGACAACAGCTGGAAAGAGGTGAAGGTCACTGCTGCCAGGTTCTCTTGGCTCATTGCTACATAAAAGTTCCCTAAGGGATGGGAATGTGGCTCAGTGGTAGAGTGCTTGCCCTGCATGCATGAAGCCCTGGGTTTGATTCCTCAGTATCACATAAACAGAAAAAGTGGAAAGTGGCACTGTAGCTCAAGTGGTAGAGTGCTATCCTTGAGCAAAAGAAGCTCAGGGACAGTGCCTAGGCCCTGAGTTCAAGCCCAAGGACTGGCAAAAAATAAAAATAAAAAATAAAAGTTCCCTGGTTATAGGAACATGATAAGAGGATGCCCTAATGTCCCACAGGCTACTCCATTGCACCTTGAGCTTCTCAGCCCTGGGGCCTTTATCCCATGGTCTGTCTGTCTTTCTGTCTGTCTTTACTCTCTTTCTGGTGCTGGAGCTTAAACTCAAGGGCTTCATTTGATTATTCAGTTCGCCTTGCTTGCTTATGTCTGGCATGATACCACTTGAGCCATGCCTCCAGCCCAGCTTTTTGCTGGTTAATTGGAGATGTAATCTCATGGACTTTTCTGCCCTGGCTGGCTTCAAACTGATCTTCCGGGTCTCAGCCTTCTGAATAGCTAGGGTTGTAGGCATAAGCCACTGACATCCTGTTACTCCATGTTTTCTGCTCATGATTGGGATAGCCTCTGCTGTCCTTCTATGCTGTGGAGAGACCCTAGGCCTTTCTTGGTTTCAGCTGTGTAGAAAACAAGACCTCTACATAACTTTATGATCTTGGTCAACTCACTGCCTTATTTCTAGGCCCCAATTGTGTCACTGATAAATAAGGATCAACTTTTCCACCCGGGCAAAGCCCTGGGTGTGAGATCAGTCAGTAAGGTCATGTTGGTGAAATTTGTATGCATGACTTAGGTGTGTTGTTCATAGATCAATAGGCTGTAAAATGTCACACACAGTCCCTTCCCTCCTCCACCTCCTCCTCTTTTGTCCCCATGGCAACCTGAGGAAGTGGTGTCACTCAAAAGACCTGATTGCAAACAGCAGATGCTGAAGTGGGAGGATTTTATTGGGGCTTGCAGGACTGGTAAGCATGCTGGTCCTGGGCCATGCCTCTAGTACAAGCCCAGAGCTGGAGCTCCATAGTCACTGCTGTCACCACCAACTGAACAGCTGCTTTTAGGTGCTTTGTTGCTGCCACCCCATTTGTGTGATCCCTCTTTCCCTGGGGCCACTCTTGCCGCTCTAGTTGGCCCAGCCTAGGTCACAGTTACTGTGGTGGGGGAGTTGGAAGCATCCAGAAACTGACCAATAGGCATTCTAGATTGCTGCTGACCTCATCATCATATTCCCCAACAGAGGAGACACAGGCATGGGGTCTGGGCTTAGTTCCTTTCCTGTACTGGTGGCCACTTATCCTTACTGACTTTTCTTCCTCAGACACGCAGTGAGAAGATCCATGACAAGGAAGCTGCTTCTGAAGCTGAGCTTGGGGGAACTGGCTTAAAGAGGTGCTCACCCTACCCCATCTACCCACCCTTTCCCCTCACTAGAGTTGGAAGACTACCCAGATAATGGTTTTCTTCTTTGGAGTTAGAAAGCTTGGAATGATGGGGAATCTGGCCTATAGTTTACTGTTGATTTGTTTGATTCTGACCATGGAGAACACTTGGGCCCCAGGGTGTTCTTGCTGGCAGAGACACTCTTTCGCTCCTTTGGGGATTGTTTTCTCTTGCCTCAGACATTAGGATAGTCATGATACCCATCTATTCCTGGAATTACTGAGCAGCATCCATTCAACCCAACCCTGTGCTGTGTTCAGGGGGAACCCCTGAGATTAAAGGGACCATGTCTCTACCATTAGGAAACCTGTGAAAGGAGTGAGGGAGACAGAGCCCCACAGAGGCCACACAGAGCAGCCCAGAAGCACAAGGGCAAAGTGGGCCCTGAGCCTGAGGATTGTGACTCCAGTGCTGCCATTTCTAGACAAGAGAAGCTGCCCCCTAGAGCTTTTCAGAGGCTAGACATGTGCAGTGAGCTCCCACATACCTGGCATTTTACATCTTCATGCAACACACACAGATCTGTGCTGGATTGGTTTTGAAGACAGGGTTCCTCTATGTAGCCTAGACTAGCCTTAAACTGGTGATCCTCCTATCTAAACCTCCCGAGTGCTAGGATTACAGGATTGTGTCACCATATCCAGTTCTGTGCTGGATTTCTTGGCATTTAAATTTGGGTTTCCCTAGAAGCAAACCCTAAGATGGGGACTTACATGCAAATGGTTTATTTGGGAGAGGCTTTCTGAAAATACTTAAAAGTAAGATAGGAACAGGGAGCAGCCGCTGAAAGGAGTTTTCTCTAGGTGACTCTGTTGGGAGCTGGAGTTCAGGCTTCGTGAGTAATTCTGGGATCCAAAAGAGAATGTACTACTCAGATCCACTCATCTGAGGGACAGGAGGCCTGGGTGCTTACTCACCAAATCTTACCCAACCTGTGTTGAGGGCTGTGTTTAGGGTGCTACCCCTGAGCTGTAGAGCCTCCTCTTTCTAGAGGACAAGTAAATCACATACAAGCAGGTGTTTGGAACATGTGCTCTGGGTATGTAGGTAGGGTGGGGTGTATGCAAAGGGGTTGGGGAAGCCACCCATGGTGTTGTCTAGGAGAGGTAAGTCAGGCAGGCTTACTGTATGTGGGCCCCAGGACAATTGAGCAGTGTGTGTACTATTTTCATTAATCCTGTTTTTCTCTTCTGCTCTGCCCAGGACCAAGTCTGTTTCCTCCATGTCTGAATTTGAAAGTTTGCTCGACTGTTCCCCCTACCTTGCTGGTGGAGATGCCCGGGGCAAAAAGCTACCCAACAGCTCTGCCTTTACCTTTGTGAGTACCGAGCCAGTAGATGCAGAGAAAGAAGCCAAGGAAAATCCTGGGCTCTTGCCACGGGACTGCAGCCGCCTGGGATCCCTGGCCTGCCAGGATCCTGCGGGGAGGCAGATGCAACGCAGCTACACGGCTCCAGACAAGACGGGCATCCGGGTCTACTACAGCCCCCCAGTGGCTCGGCGCCTGGGTGTCCCTGTGGTCCATGACAAGGAAGGCAAGATCCTCATTGAGCCTGGCTTCCTCTTTACCACAGCCAAGCCCAAAGACTCAGCTGATGCTGATGGGCTAGCCGAGAGCTCATATGGACGATGGTTGTGCAACTTCTCCCGACAGCGCCTGGATGGGGGGCCCGGGGGCAGCCCCTCAGCAGCCGGGCCTGCTTTCCCAGCTGCCCTGCATGACTTTGAAATGTCAGGCAACATGAGTGATGACATGAAGGAGATCACTAACTGTGTGCGGCAGGCCATGCGCTCGGGCTCACTGGAGAGGAAAGTGAAGAGTACATCCAGCCAGACAGTAGGCCTGGACAGTGTGGGCACGCAGACCATCCGCACGGTCAGCGTGGGCCTGCAGACTGACCCGCCCCGCAGCAGCCTCCATAGCAAGAGCTGGTCACCCCGCAGCTCCTCACTCATGTCTGTGCGCAGCAAGCAGATCTCCTCTTCTCTGGACAAGGTGCATCCACGCATTGAGCGGCCATGCTGCTCACCTAAGTATGGCTCACCAAAGCTGCAGAGGAGGTCTGTGTCTAAACTGGACAGCACCAAGGACCGCAGCCTGTGGAACCTGCACCAGGGCAAGCAGAATGGCTCGGCCTGGGCCCGTTCCACCACCACTCGGGACAGCCCAGTGCTGAGGAACATTAACGATGGACTGTCTAGCCTCTTCAGTGTGGTGGAGCACTCGGGGAGCACTGAATCTGTTTGGAAACTGGGCATGACTGAGGCCCGGGCCAAGCCCGAGCCTCCCAAGTATGGCATTGTGCAAGAGTTCTTCCGGAATGTGTGCGGCCGTGCACCAAGCCCCACATCGGTAGCAGGAGAGGAGAGCTCCAAGAAACCTGAACCTCTCTCCCCTGCCAGCTACCATCAGCCAGAGGGCATGGCCAGGATCTTGAACAAGAAGGCAGCCAAATCTGGCAATGAGGATGCCAGAACCACCAACCCATCCCAGATGGGCAAGGATGGTGTCCCCCGTGATGGAGATGGAGTCTCAATCCTTCCTAATGAGGTAAGTGGATAGACTTTGCCCTTTTCCTTATGAGGGAAGCTCTGGAATGACACAGACCTAGTGGTCACATGGTCTGAGTGCCAGGAGATAATGGTGAGTGTGGCTCGATCAGCTACCTTCCTCGTACTCTGCAGAGATCTCTAGCCTATGTTTCAGGGAAGGGGTGTATCTGCTGCTTTCTTGCTCCTGGTGATATGCTGTGCTCAGAGGCTTTTTGAAAGCATCCTGTGTTTTTTAATTTCTCCATGCATATTGGCTGCAGAGGGAGGACAGATGGCAGGAAAATTGGCAAAGGCTACAAACTAGAGACCTTCCTCCTCTTGCTCCTAGAAAATGGAATTAAATTTTTTTTTTTTTTTTGGTTGGTCGTGGGGTTTGAACTCTGGGCTTGGGCGCTGTCCCTGCACTCTTCAGCTCAAGGCTAGTGCTCTACCGCTTGAGCCACAGTGCCACTTCCGAAAATGGAATTAAATATTAACCTGCCCGCCCCCTTGCCCCATCCACCTGACTTCACACCAGAGTACTCACATTGTCTAAGAAGCCTTGCTGTACACTCTCCACACATCAATTCTACTGAGTTAGGCACTGAGTGTTAGTCAAGGGATGCATCTGAGTTGGCATGCTGAAGGGGAAAGAAATGTTTTAGATGGATGATGGAGTATCTTATAGGATCTAGAACCAAGACCTGAAGGCATCAGCAGTTTCTCCCTGTTCTCTCTTTTCTTTAGAGCTTTGTTTTCTTCTATGTTCTTTTCCTCCTCTCCTTCCTTCTGTTGCATTTCTACAAGCACTAGATAGGTTGTTCCAGCTCTGGTTTTATAACATCTTCCAGTTCAAGCACCTCAAGACATGAACTTAAAACTTTTTGATCAGTTTGAGTAAGGTGTACCCCCTTGGTCTCCCTCTACTGTGGTCAATGATGGTTCCTTGTGGTGTGCTGTAGACTTATCAAGGAGTATAGTTTGGGGCACACAGAAGTGAGGAGGACTGAGGGGAGGAACTGAGATCATCTTAGGCAGTCTGCTTCCCTGCTACTAGATGTTTGGTTGGTTTCTAGTTTCTTGTTTTTTGTGGGGTTTTTTTTTGGCTGGTTCTGGGGCTTGAATGAAGGCCTGGGCGATGTCTCTGAGCTTCTTTTGCTCAAGGCTAGAGCTCTACCACTTGAGCCACAGAACCACTTCTGCTTTTTTCTGAGTAATGTGTTAGAGATAAGTCTCATGGCCTGTCCTGCTGAAGCTGGCTTCAAAATACCATCCTCAGATCATGAGCCACTGGCACCTGGTGGTTTCTAGTTACAGATAATGCTGTGGCAAACAGCTTGGTACAAAACCATTTTTTTCCCTAGTCCTAGGGCTTATCTCAGGGTCTGGGCACTGACCCTGAGCCTGTCTGTGCTCAAGACTAGCACCTGAGCACCACTTTGGGCTTTTTCTGTTTATGTGGTACTGAGGAATTGAACCCAGGGCTTCATGCATGTTAGGCAAGCACTCTACCACTGAGCCACATTCCCAGCCTGCAAGACTATTTTGTACACTTCAGATTATTTCATTAAGTGTGAGTTGCAGAAAGGAGATTAAGGCATAAAAGAACAAAAATTTCAAACATATTTGATAAATATGATCATGGTTCTAAGCCAGCACAGGCAGAAAAGACTTGAGAGACTCTTCTTTCCAATTAACCAGCAAAAAGCCAGCACTGGATATGTGGCTTAAATGATAGAGCACCAGTTGTGAGCAAAAAAGCTGAGCAAGTGCGTGAGGCCCTGAGTCATGCCCCAGTATCAGCAAGTTCAGAAACAGAGCTTGTCCAGGCTGGGAGTATAGTTCAGTGATAGAGCACTTGCCTTGTATGCATAAGATACTGGGTTCTTGGGCTGGGAAGGTGGCTCAGTGGTAGAGTGCTTGCCTTGAGCTGAAGAGCTGAGGGACAGCACCTAGGCCCAGAGTTCAGGCCCCATGACTGGACCAAAAAAAAAAAAAAGACACTGGGTTCTCTCCCCAGCACTACAAAAGTATGGTGGGAAGCAGAGAGAGGAGGAATAGAAGAGAGAAACAGATTATGAAGGGGTCAGGGATTATAAGGAATTGGCTTCTGTGATTATGAAAGCTGTCAAGTTCTAAGATCTGTAGGGCAGCTCAGTAGTCTGAAGACTCACAAGAGCTGATAGTTTGGTTCTAGCCAGAATCCAAAAGGCTGAGAAGCAGAAAAGTTAATAGTCTAGTCCTAGTCCAAAAACTAAGCAGCCTTGTGACCCAGGAAGTGCCCATGTTTCAGTTTCAGACTAGGAGCATGAAAAAAAAATCCTGGCAGGAAGCATTCACTTTTTATTCTATTCAGGTCTTCATTTGACTTTAACCACTCACATAAGGTAAGTAGTCTGCTTCACTTAGTCTGTTAGTTTCAGAGTTAATCTCATCCAGTAATACTGTCTCGGAAAGGCATATAGGAATGTTCTTCCTAATGTCTGCACACTCAGGTATGGTGGTTCATGACTGTAATCCCAGCTTCTCACAAGGCTTAAACCTAGAAGATCACAATTCAAAGCCTGTCAGCCAGAAAAGCCAGGGAGATTCCACCTCCAAGGAATGTGTGAGAAATGGAGCTCAAGTGAAAGAGCTCCAGAGCAAGCTGAGGGAGGTCCTGAGTTCAAGCCCTGGTACCAGAAAAAAAAATTAAAAATGATTGAAGTCAAAATAAAACAAGAATTATGTTGTAGCAATGAAAATTGCTAGCTTATTGAACATTTCTGCTAAATGCATACTATGTAACGTGTCAAAAGCCACAGCATTTAAAAGGAGATCTAGATGAACATAGTGACAGAAAAGTGTTCTTGTTTTGCTATTATAGAGTAGGATGTGTAAGGGATGAGGTCATTTGGGCAAATATATCTGTTTGCACTACATTTTATGTAATAAAATTTTTTTGTAGTTATTAGGTAAGGTCTCTAACATTTGAACCATGCTCCCAGCTCCTTTTGTTTTTTATTTTATTTTTCAAATTGGATCTTACATTTTTACCCAGAACCGGCCTTAAACTGCAGTCCTCCTGCCTCTTTTACCTGAATTCTGCAATTATGCTGCAATTACAGATTTGAACCACCTTGCCTAGCTTGTTTTTTGTTTTTTTGTTGTTTTTTTTGAGATGGGTCTCATTAACTTTGCCTGGGCTGGCCTTAAACCATGATCTTCCTATCTCCTTCATAGCTAAGAATACAGCCATAAGCCACTACCCCTGTCCCCTGAGAATTTATCTTTGATATGTGGGACCTTGGACAAGGTTTCCTTTCATTTCTGTGTCTTCTAGACCACTGTAGAATGAGTATCCATTACAGACTTAACGAGCGAAAAATGACAGCCAGAGACAAAGACCCACTGTGGTCCCTGGGAACTGATGGTATACACAACTAAAACCCAGTTCCTTGCTGGCCCCCTGGGCAGGGTGGTCAGTACCTCTGGGCTCCTCCTGACATCTACCCTTTCTCTTCCTAGGACACTGTTTGTGACTGTAGTGCCCAGTCTCTCACCTCCTGCTTTGTCCGGCCATCCCGCTCTGCCATCCGCCACTCTCCTTCCAAGTGCAGGCTGCACCCATCCGAGTCTGGCTGGGGTGTGGAGGAGAGGGCAGTCGCCCCCAGCGAGTGACAGAGCAACTGAGCTTCCCACCTCGAGCAGCCTGGTCCCTGGAGATTCAGGGAGGGGTTGCCCCCTTAGCCTTGCTGTGCCTGGAGGACAGCAGCTACCCCGTTGCCAGAGAACATTCAAGGTAAAGCAGGGTCTCCAGTGACCACTGGGTGGTGACTCTGCCTTCCCAGTGGATGCCAGTGAACAGGAAAAAGAACAAGCCTGTGGCCAAGACGGAGCCTCAGAAGCCCGGCCAGAATACTCCAGCGAGGATGGCTCCTTGTCTGGCCCCACCCACACCCACTTGTAAGATCCTAGAATGGGAGGTACTTCTGGCTTTGCCTCAGGATAGAGGCACAGAGATGTTCCCTGCCCACCACTCACCCCTTCTCTGGGAGGGAGATATGGCTGAAAAGAGCAGGTCCAGCTTGAGGCTCCTGCTGGGCCAGGCATTGTCACCTCTCCCACCTGCTGCTTGGGTTGCTGGCATTTAGGGGGTATGATAGGGTAGTACCCAGGGTCAAGTAGACTTGGCATCCTGGAGCCCTGGATCTCCCTGGTCTTATCTATATGCAGCAAGAACTGGGAGGAAGTGAAGACTGCCTCTCTGCCAGTGTGACTTTTGGGGTATCCAGCCTTTCCAGGAGATCCATGAGGAGAGAAATAAGTACAGCCCGTCTCAAGACCTGGTATCCAGGAAAACACTTCCATGCTATACCCTGTTCTCTGGGGCCTCTCTCTGGCACCCAGGTGGGGTACTACATCTTCGCTGCATTTGTATCCTGCAGCTGGTGGAGGGCAGAGATCCTTCCTCCCAGAGACTCCCACGTAGTCAGCTCAAGCCAGGGAAATACATTTCTTGCCTAGATCATTTATTTGATTTTTTTGTATTCTTTAAGTATTTAAGGTGGGTTTTTTATTTTTAATAATTTAATTTTCCCCAAAGCCCCTAAGGTAATTTATTGGAGGTTAAGACATGTATTCATGCCCCCTTGGGACAATGTGGGGTTCATCACACCACAGATAGGCATGAGGGTCCCCTGTAATGACGAAGCAGCTCAGGCCAAGCTCTGAACTCTTCAAGAGGGCCCCTCACCAGAGTGGGAACCCTGCAGTTTACTGCCCCAACGCCACAGACCCTTGAGCCTCTGAGCACTGCCTTTTCCTTCATACCCGGTACCTCTCTGGCCCCTGAGGCCAGTGTGTAAATGCTCCAGACAGGGTGGTGAGCCAGACTGACGTGACCGCTCCCCAGAGTCTTTCCCTTCTCCCCAAACTTTTTCTTTTTTAATGAGTCAAACATGGAGGACTATGGCTCTTGTCAAGAGTACAAAGACCCCTCCAAGTCCCCCAAGTGACGACTTGCAGGAAAACAGGATGAACTTTGAGAATGTTGTTTATTGCTGCTTTGCACACGGATCTGAGAGTGTCTACCAGCCTGCCTGCCAGCCTTTCACCAGCCTGTCTCCTTAGCCTTATGCCTCTCTCGGCTCTGCTCCTGGCCCAGCTCCACTGCCTGCCCTTCCTTCGTCCATGGGAGCCACCCATCCCATCCGAGAGACTGCAGCATGGCTCACTTCAGTCCAGTGAGGAAGGCCTTGTAACCTTTCCACTGGTGAACCCATCTCAGTTATACACACACATCTCCTCTCCTCTTCCCCCTCCCACCACATGTGCAGCTCTCCTGTCACTGGCTTATGTATAGAACTCCCCATCAGAAAGGCCAGGAGCCAACAACATTGCTGGTTTGTTCCCAGGACTCAGATGGCCCTGCATTCCCCCTTGTCACCTCTCACCCACCCTTTCAGGGTCATCTGGAACAGTTACACAAAACCCTTTGTCCCAGTTCCCTACAGGCAGCACATCAGGGTCATGTCAGTCCCATCAGCTGCTTCCTTGTGCCCTAGTGACTTGTGTGGGAAGAGCCACAGGCCATTGGAGCCTTGGGCCAGTTCCACTGCTCTTACCCAAGAGGTCAGGGGCCCCTCGAAGATTAACTGCAGGAGAGGGGATTCATACCAGGCCACTAGCCACCAGAGGCCTTTTGCCACCTCCTGGAGCTGCAGAGGGCCAGGGGGGCTGTGCTCTCAGCCTTGGGGAGTAATCCCCATGAGACCTCAGGGCCTTCGGGCCTCTCAGCCTTACCATCGTCTTCATCCGAGATTGTCATGCGTCATTGTCGCTGTCTCGGCACCGGGCCTCAGTGGTCCCCGGTGGGGGTGTTGGAGACCCCAGGTCTTGGTTTTCAGTGGAGTCCCTGTTTCTATTTCTTGTATCCACTATACAAGGCCACTGTCACCATTCCTACAGAAGCCCCTGGATGCGGGGCTGGATGGGGTTAACAATGTTACATGTAAATATTGATTCCGTTTAAGTTTTAGGTTTTACTTGGTAACTGGTTGTGTTTTCTTTTTGGGGGTGGGAGGGTTGGTTTGTAAAAACTCTCTATTCTTTTGGAATGTAATTTCTAAGTTCGTTTATTTCTTCAAATGCCTTTGATGTCTTGGTAACATTCCCAAAGCAGAAAACTGCCTGCCCCAGAATGTGGAGTCCCCATCCCACACCTGGAGGCTGAGGTCCCAGGAAGAATGCTGCCCTTGCTCCCTCTCTTCTCCCCTTCCTTGTTACTCGTAGCTCTTCTCCTCTTTCTTCCTCCTTTTTAACCAAAGTCCCAAGGAACCCTGCATCCCTATCCCCTACAGATTACCTGGTGGTTGAGCTTAAACTGGGTGACTTTACATTCCTTATATTTGATTCCTCAGAACCAAATTAGAATCTCCTGGGGGTGATGATAACTAGTTTTGAATGAAAATGAGACTACTTGGTTTCAAAGTGGCTCCACTGCCTGAATGCACAAGGCATCAGCATCCAGTTCGCTGCCCTCTGTCAGCCTTTCTTCTAGTCCTTTCTGCAGTGCAGGCTGACCTCTAAGAGGTCCTACTCAAAATGGGCCACATCCTTTGGCCTCTCCAGGGTGCTCATCTACCAGGCAGCCTCCAGGCAACAAAGTTGAGGGCACCAAACACTTGACCCTCTTCCATGTACCTACTATTCACAGCTATATCCCCCAGCCTTTTTTCCTCGTCTCAGCAACATTCAGGCTTTTATTCCTTCTTCTTACCCTCCCAGAATATTCCTACCAAGTCTCCCACTGATTGCTTGTTAATAATAATAATAGTGCTGTGTACATCCATATCCCTTCCAGAGCACTTCACTGTTTAGAACACACACACACACACATACACACACACACAAACACACGTACGCGTACACATGTACACGTACGCACGCACACAGGCACACAGAGAATCTCTCAAGCCTTAACAGGACAGGGACTGAGGCATTTACTTTTCAGATGAGGAAACTGAGGCTCTTATCTTGTCCCAGTTATCAAGTTTAGATGAACACTTGGATCTTGGATTCTCCCCACCCTATTCTATCCTGCTTGCTGTGAAATCCCACTGTATCCTAGAGTATTGGACTCCCCTCCCCAGAGTGTGCCACTATCAAGATAAGCCACTGAAATTGCTTACCTTTGTATTCCAGAGGGTGGGCCGGGGATGCCTGCATTAGATTCTGGGTAGGGCTTGGTTAAATGTAGATTCCTTGGCCTGAATAGCCCTCTGGACCTAGGGTGTGAGCGTTTAGGAAGCACTCTGGGGCACCCTAAGCAACACAGCACTACGGACAGCATCTTGTTCACAGCACTGACGTTTAGGCCATTGTTCTTTCAACCAATCATCACAATGCTTTGTTTTTAAAGAGAGACCTGAGCACTATGCTAGGAACTAGGAAAACTCTCCTTGTGTGTGATTACTCTGGAGATTTGAAAAAAGCAAAAGCATAGAGACAATAGTCTTAGTCTTATGCTATTAATAAGATAACAAAAGTAGAAAGCCAAAAAGCAAGATGGCTTGTTTTCCAAATCTGCCTAAGGTAATTTGATAGTCATGTAATTAAATTTCACTCTTGAGTTGCCTAGTAGCACAATGAAAGGAGTAATACATCAGGATTTTATCACTTTCAGTCCTGGAAAGCAAGCATGTCTTCCCTGGGAAAGAGATCTCCTGCTTCTAACTTATAACATATGTCCTTTCTTCAAAGGCTAGGGAGCCCAGTGATGTTTTAACAAGTCAACTATCATGTAAAGCTGTTTTTCAAGTGACTGTTAACAAAAACAAACTGCTATCAACTTGAATGACCTTGGCCAAACCTTGTGGCTCGTCTGTGCCTCAGTTTCCTCATGTATAAATGAGGACAGTATCCTACCTCATGTGGCTGTGGTGAGACCCAAACCCAATCTCATACCTGCATAAGATTAGAGAAGTCAGCCGGTGCTGGTGGCTCACGCCTGTAATCCTAGCTACTCGGGAGGCTGAGATCTGAGGATCACAGTTCAAAGCCAGCCCGGGCAGGAAAGTCTGTGAGACTCTTATCTCCAATAAACCACTAGAAAAATGGGAAGTGGCACTGTGGCTCAAGTGGTAGAGCGCTTGCCTTGAGTTGAAGAGCTGAGGGACAGCGCCCAAGCCTAGAGTTCAAGTCCCATGACCGACCAAAAAAGAAAGAAAGAAAAAAAAGATTGGAGAAGTCTAAGTAAGGTTCTGTACAAATGTTAGGTAATCTGCCCACATCTATAGTGCCCAGCCAGCTTCTCAGCATCATGGCGTGGGGATAAATCCACCTCACTGGGTCTTAATAAAAAGGAGACGGAAAAATAACGATAGTAACCAGATTTGTGTTTAAATCGAAGCAAACATTTCAAATATGTTGCTTTATTACTGTTTTTGTTTGCCCCTCTCCCTTGCTGTGACTTGAACCCTGGCACCTTACATGTTAAGCAAGTTTTCTCATACTGAGCTATATCCCAGCCCTTAAATGGCTTCAAAATCCATTCACAATGTTGTCTAACCATCACCAGTCATTTCCAGAATTTTTTATCATCCCAAACGGAAACTCAATATCCCTTCAACAATGAGTCCCATTCCACTTGCCTCCTTTGCTGCACTTGATAACCTCTGTTCTGCTTCCTTCCACTGGATTGGCCTGTAGTCTATGCCTCATGTAGACAGGGAATCCTATAACATTTGTTCTTTGTGTCTGTCTCTCTCCCCCTTTCCCCACCACACACATGTTTTAGATGAGGAATCAAGCTCAGAGATGGAGTGGCTCACCTGTGGTTGCACAGCAATCTAGAGGCGAAGCCAGCCCCAGACCCTAGGGCTCCTGACTCCTAGCAGGTTCTGCACCCTGTGGTGAATGTCCTGCCTTTCTGTGGGCTAAATTTGTTTTCTTCCTATCCCCCATTCATCCTCTCCTTTATCATCTTCTAAAGCTTCCTCCTCAGCTTAGCTGGTTCCAGCCAGCAGATAAAGTGGCCCACAGCCAGGTTTCCCTCCTCTGGGTCCCCAGGCCTCCCACGGTGCCCACCCCAGCACTGTTCCCGTCTGTGGCTTTTCTTCTAATCTCATCACTGCCCTCCCATCCCTAAACTCACAGCCCTGTTCCATCAGGAAAGTGTCCTGTCTGCCATCTCCCAAACCTCGAGTTTTTCTCTCATATCTTGTTGTGTCCTGGTTTCTGTGTTTATTTTGTATTTTCTCACACCAAAGGGGACCCCTTCCCCCCATTCATCAGGTAGCACCAGTCCTGCCAGTCCTAATTCTTACCGGGTCCACTTTGTCCTAATTACCTCCCTCCCCACCATTTCTACCCCAAACACTCTGTCTTCTCTGTCCACAGCCTCCCAGAAGCTGCCCCAGCACTTTTACTGGGGGAGTGTGTGGTGAATATGGACTTTGGCTCTCTCCTTTGACTGACCTGTGCCCTGCCCAGCCATGCACAGCAGTATCAAACAGGTATCAAGCAGGCGCAGGTTGGCTTAACTTCTCCACTCTGCTCTTCCATCCCCCTGCCATCCATCCTTTCTCTTCTCTCTTGTGCTATAGAATAGTTCATCCTGTCAGAACCTGTAGCTCATCCTCCCGAATCAAGTTTGCAGAATCCATAGGCCTAAAGTCCAAAAGAGATAAAATGTGATGCTTCGGTCCCTGCTTGGGCCTCCACTTCCTATCCTGTCCACACCTAATCCCATCCTCCTAGAATCCTCCTCTTCCTTTCTCTGTCTCATCGGTCCTGCTTCCTCCCACCTTTCTGCCCTCCATCATCTGTCCCCAAGGAAAAGAGCCTTAGTGTACTCTGAAAGGGCTCAGGCAGCTAGGGCCTGTTACCTTGTCACACTCCATTCTGAAGCCACCTGAACCACTCTAATGAAGAGAGACCTCAGCCAGCAGTCTGTGGGCCAATCTCTGAATTTCTTGGGCCCTCCCCGTAGTTTTATGATCTTCTGCTAAGCACCAGGAGTCTCTGAGCACCTTTCATATCTTGGGGTCCTGCTTTCTCCACTGGGCCCCAGTATTCTGGTTCCTCTCAGCTCTGCCATTGATCTCTGTGCCTTAGTTTATTTCTTCGCACAGGGGGGCTCATTTACCATAAAACCACTCCCAGAAGCTCTCTGGACCCTTTGGTGCCTCTAAGTCTGAGCTCAATCAACTGTAACCTTGCATAGGGACACCAAGGTCCTGGGGGCATCATTCCAAACCAAAGGTTCTCAAACTGTGTTCCAACAAGACTTGTAGATGCAGATTTTAGGCCAACCCCTAGACACACTGGATTAGAAATGCCAGAGCAAAGCCCATCAAGGTTGTTTGAAAGAGATTCCAGGTCATTCCAAGATATACATTTGCCAACTACTGACCCAGTAAACAGTACAGCCTAGAGAGGGCCTGGGGCTAGTCGTGGCCAGGCACCTTGTCTGGACTACTGAACTTGGACCCTTTCCCTATACAAAACCAAACGGAACTAACTCTGTGATGTCTCCTTTTCCCCAAAGCTGGAGGGTTATGAGACTTGCCCTTTCCTGCCTCTGGCTTAGTCCCAGCGCTGTCACCTCCCCTACAAAAGTCTGGGTAGCTGGTGTCAGCAGGTCAGAGGACAATGGAGGCAAAGAACCTGTTTATGCCTGGGCAAGCTCACTATAGCTACATGAGTTTCCAATAGAAAAGAAAATTCCACTAGAAGAGAATCCCATGTCCCCAGCCCCTCCTCCTCTTCTTCTTCCTCCTCCTCCTCCTCTTCCTCCTTTTACTGCCACTTCTCCCCTCCTCCTCTTCTTCTTAATCCCAGGGAGACCTTGTGGACAGTGCCAAAAATAGCTCCAACCCCAGCAACTGCAGAAGAGAACCAGAAATTATCTTTCCTCAGCATTCTGCTCCCTCCCATACTGTGCCAATTCCCCTTCTTGCTCAGCCTGGTTTCCTGGTGAGGGCCTTAGGGTATCCCTCAGAAGGGAAGGAACCAAGGGCATCCTTGGGCCAACTGTCCACCTCTTCCTCTACTGTTCTCATTTCTTCCCAGGATGGATTGGGTGCTAGGAGGACCACAGTCCAATTTACCAGCTCTTCCCTGCCCTGTGTCTTATTTCAGACATGAGTAAAACTGTACAGTGTAAACTTATAAAGTGTTTTTAATGGTTGTAGATTGGAAATAAAGTATGTCATATGAACAGTGGTCATTGATTTTGTCTCTCTTGAGTTCTCTAGTAGGGATCCACCTCAGATTTGAAACCAGACTCTACCTCACTGGCAGTGCCTGGGAAGAGGCGAAGCAGGGGCCACATGGCTGGTTTAAGTCATGGGAGGGACCATCAGGTGTTCTGGCTGCTGACTGCTGGGGACTCAGTGTCTCCCATGAAGTGTGTTATGGTCACCAAGAAACAAATGGCAGGATATTCAAGAGGGAAAAAAAAAATAAAGTTGGGCATGATGTGTATATCTGTAGTCCCAGCATGCAAGATTCTGGTGTAGGAGAATCACACATTCCAGGCCTAGGCTACATAATGAGACACCATCTTAAAAAAACAAAAACCTAAGAAGGAGAAGAGGAGGAAAGGAAAGCAGAAGAACAAAAACTAAGTTTATGTCAGTGGCTCTGGAACCGGAATTCAGGAGCTGGATTGTTTGCACTTTTGCGGAGAGAGAGGAGGAGTCAATTTAGGGCTATTCTACTGAATGCTATATTAGATAAATGCTATGCCACTTAGCTGTACTCCTGCCTGTGCTGCAGTTATTTGAATACCTGATAAGAGCTGGAAGATCCATTTGCAAAGTGGCAAGTCCATGTACTGGGCAAGTCTGTGCTGGCTGTTGGCAAGGGACCTCAGTTCCTCAAAGTGTGAAACTCCCCCTGTATCCTTACAATATGGAAGGTAGCTCCCCTTTGAGCAAGTGATCTAACAAAAAGTGGAACAGGAAATCCTATCTTTTATGATTAAGCTTTAAAAGTCACACACTATCATTTCTATAATGTCTTACCATTTATACAAACCTTCATTTTTTTTTCCATGTAGAAGGGAACTGCACAGACACAAGAACACTAGGAAACACGTCATTAAGGGCCTGCCACATGTCCCTTTTATAGATCTCTTTTTAACAGTCCGATCTGTGCCAGGCATTGAGGAAACAGTAGATGTGCCTAGAAAATAGGATATCAAATATCAATGGCAGGAGGGAGCCCAGGGGAATCAGGAAAGGCTTCTCAGAAAAAAAAAAAAAACAACAGGTGAGAGGGATGGTAGCAGATTGTAGAAAAGATAGATGACGTGGTTCTGGAGAAAAAACAAACCAGAATTTGATATAATGAGAGTGGAACATAGCACAACTGGAAGAATGAAGGAAGTCTGACAGCAGCAGAACAGGGAGTGATGAAAGAAGGCTGGCTCAGGTCGCACTGACTTGTGAGGGAAGAGCTTCTCTGTCCTGTGGACAGGAGAGAGCCATGGGAGAATTCAAAGCAGGGAAAGAACACCGTCACAGGTTTACTGGGTCTGGATTTTATGAAGAAATATTCTTAGCATGCCCCTCGGTGGCCAGCCCTAGCTGGGACTACTGAGTTTTCTTGGGACTGTTTAAGAAGGGGCCAGGGGGTTGGGAAGGTGGCTCAGTGGTAGAGTGCTTGCTTTGCATGCATGAGGCCCTGGGTTCGATTCCTCAGTACCACATAAGCAGAAAAAGCCGGAAATGGGCGCTATAGTTCAAATGGTAGAGCTCTAGCCTTGAGCTGAAGAGCTGAGGGACAGCGCCCAAAATTCAGGCCCCACCACCAACCAAAAAAAAAAAAAAAGAATGGGGCCAGGACCAGAAGGAACTGAGTATCTTTGAGCCCCAGGAAGTTACATTTAAGGAACCAAGAATAAATCTCTTCTTTTAGACTACTGCTGAAGCCAGCAGGCTGGAAAGTAGGGTGGAAATTTCAGAGAGGCAGATTTC